TTTTTTTTTTTAAGCTTCTACGAACTTTTTTTGTTGAGAGATAAGAGTTTGTATTTTCAGGTAAACATGATCCTATCTCGTTTTGAGCAAGCAAGACCTGACGGGCCTGTCAAGCGAGGTGTTGCGGGGCTTGATTTTGATAACCAGGTGAGTTCTCAACAATACTTTTGGTCTTTGTTTCCCAACATGTTTCCAATGGTATTTCATCGTTTCTGATCGCTGTCTCTTTGTTTACCCTTGAGAGATAGGAATATACTTAGTGTATTAGGTAAACAGATTCCGCTTCTTGTTACCACCCCATTTATTAGGTAAAGGTATTGTTTTCAGGGAATATACTTAGCGTCTGTCACAAGATCAGGATGCTTTACGGTGCATGACTTTGAAACTCTATACTGCCAGAGTAAGGTTGGCCAAGGTGAAGTTCTGAACTGTGCTCATTGTATTTACTTTTAATGTTACCTCGTAAAGGTGTCTCTTCATTCGTCTGTCTTTGGTTCTGAGCTGAAATTGTTTCCAAGTTTTAGTTAACCATTCACTTCAAATATTCAAGTTAATTTCAGCCAAATGTCACCCAAACGTGGCAGCAATGTTAGCCTGAACTTTGTATCTATAGTGCACAGCTCGATTATATGTGAAGGGTTTATTCTTTGGCAAAGTCTAAACGACCTTCATAGAGTTTTATACTCAAGTGTCTTGCAGTATAGAATTAAGTTCCCATTCTCTAAAACATCTCTAGTCAATGGAATTTTATTGTATAAATTGGATTAATAAGGTATACATTATTTTTTAAACATCAATGACGGTGATGTTGCTGGATCTTATGTTATAGTATGCTTGCTCATATTATGCTTCTTATACAAGTCTTTGGACCTTTGTACGTTACAGTTTTGAATCTTGTATCTTACTGAGTCATCAATAACAGGTTCTGTGGAAGATGAAAGTAAGCATGTTATGCATTTGTCTTTCCCTATGAATAGGGAATTCGATGTCGCTAGATGGAATCCTACAAACCAGAATGAGGTATGGGCTTAAAAAATTCCTCATCTGATATCTTAATTCCTTCTAAGAACTTCATTTCAAAACATTTTTTATGAGGAATTATTATTCCTGTAGGTAGCTTGCACATCGATGAAACGTGATAAAATCTTTATCTTCGATATCAGTTACATGTCTTCCAAACCAACTGAGGTATGATTTCAAACATCTGATTTTGAGATCATATGGATTTAAGTATACATGGTTTTTTTGGTAACTACTTCTGGTTCCAATTCCTGTGACAGCATCATCATGAATTAGGTTGTCTTGTTTCTATCTCAGTTTATGTTTTATATCTGAAACAGACAGAAACACATATGTATCGCTGTATTTCTTTCTTAGGCATAGCAAAATTGCCTTTCCAATTCTTTCCATCGTGATTACAAAAAAGCCAGGCAATTTTTTCTCGAAATGACACGGTCACAACATGGCCATGGTAAACTTATCTCCCATCAAGTCTTAGTCTGCTCTACTTAGGCTAGCTCTGCTAAATATTCATATCCTTTCACCTACATTTCAGTGATTGTTCTAAATGTGATTCAGGAATTGCAAACTAGACAGAAGCTCTCGGTACTTGGCCGCAAAATTTCTAGTGGTTTATCTGATATTGCCATTACTAGTGATGGAGATTCAAGGTTTGTAGAATGGCTCATCCCTGAGGTGCAAAACAATGATAGCTTCTTTGTAGGTACTTTCTTCAGCAAATTTTCTGCATTTGTTCTTTATGCAGAATATTTTCTCCAGATACACGTGGTATCGTTCATGTGTGGGATAGAAGAGCAGGTGTGTCTCCATGCATTGAACTTTCGACAAACAGATATGATTCAATAAAGAGTATTCAGATATATGTGGATAATCAGGTAATCATAAAATAAGATATCCCCAAGCTCAGTAAAGGTCTTCTGATCCATGAAAATTGCAGTGAGCATTAGATTTCAGATTGAGTTAGGCCCCAAAGTTTTGTTTCGTCCTTGCGATCATGTTTCTTTGATCTATCATGTAGACTATTTTTGGAGCTGGTAAAGAAGGAATCATTCATATCTGGGACCTTCGTGGAGGAAGAAACTCTACCGCTTTTCAGAGTCGCAAAGATGTAAGTCTTACAGAAAGAGCTGGAATTAGCTATGGCAGTATATTTTATCGGTGACACCTACATCAATTTAACAGACATGTCATCAATTTTTTTATTGGTAACATTCAGATGAGCCACTTGCCTTTAGCATCTCTACATCTTGCACCAATGCTGCAGAAGATTGCATCTCTTAAGGTAACTTCTGTCTTTTGCTTTGCATCTCACTTATGCCATCATTCAAACAACCTTTTTAGGCTTCTTTGGGTTTTCTCATAAAAATTGTATATTTGAATCATTTTGGACTACCACCATGTTCCCAAAACCTGAAAGCTGTGTATCTCAATACTTGAACAAACGAAATAGTTTTGTGGGTGTTAATTTCTAAACTTTCAGCAGAAGATCATACTGAAACTGGCAGCATTAGAAAAATCTTGCATCTCAATCTGAATCTTTTGCAGGCACAATCAGAAATCGTCCCCAAGGAAATCCATTCCATTAATGTAAACCCATCTTCTCCACATCAACTGGCATTTCACCTTGACGATGGTTGGTAAGTCATTCTTTCATCAACAGCTCTTTTCACCTTGGGAAAACTGTTAAAACAAAACACAATTTCATGTTTCTCTTCGTTGATTTCATTTCATTTATCATTTTCCTTTGGTGGGTGTCTCTAGTGCAGGTCCGGTGTTCTGGACATTTATAAATCTGAAGTTACTCATGTACATTGCCCTCCTCCAGCTTGGTTGTAAGTTAATAAGCCAACTCACGAAATTGCAGTTTCTTTTGTCACAAGAAGCATTTGATTTGATCAAAAAGAAAAACAAGAAAATGCTGTTATACTGTATTGGATTTTGGTTCACTTAGGGATGGTTCCAACAATTCAGCTGATTTGTTCTTGCGGAAACCATCATGGCTACCAACATTATCCGTAAGCCCTGCACTTTGTACTATCATTCACAGTCACACGTGCAGATTTTCTCACCTTATATCTGTTTCATACCAAGTTTTATGTTTCCTATTGTAGATTTATGTGGTTGGGTCCATGAGCGAGAAAGGGATTCATGTTCTTGATTTCCATCCAAGCTCCAGGTCTCCTTGTCACGTTGACTACGAGTAAGGATTTCCTGGAAACTCCCCATATATATATATCATGTTCTCTCTAAACTTCATGACCACATTCCTGACATTGCTAATATCTTGTTGCAGTGAGGATTCACAGAAAAAGGAGAAAAGAGAGAAGCGTAATCACAGTAACAAGTTTGTTTCTTTATCTGAGCGTGTCACGGGTTGTGCTGCACATCCTCTCAACAGCATGATCGTAGCTGGAACTCAGGTATTTTAAAGTTTGCTTAAAGTATCAATCAATTTTAGTCTTTAAGACCATGATTTTGGGTTAGTCTTAGTAGTGCTTGGCTAATAAAACAAACCAGTGAATCAAATGGACTTGTTGGTAGTAAAAGAATGGTGTAATTGGCATTGTGCATTATATCTGACAAACAAAGTGTCAACAATGATAAGTGAATTTCTAAAAGGAAATGGTGATTCTGCAGAAATCGTCGTTGTTGTTGATCGCGCAGAGACATTGCTCATCTACATCAGAAACTGTAGAAGGTGAACTGTAGCATCAACAAGAGTGAGCTTCTAGATTTGTAACAGAGAAATCATTCACGAGGTTATGTAAGAAAGTAAAAATTTTCCTTAAATGGTTCCAAAAAGAAGATACTCATCACATTGAAAATGCTCTTGTTGTCTGTTGGTATTGTTTTATATTTTAGTAAATGAGAAACCTCTAAAAATAATGAGAATCAAGAATGAAACATGTAAATAGGCAAAATCATGTGAAGGTATGACAAATCCCATTATGTGAAGTGAAGGTGACTAGACTTGATCCCAACAACTCGTTATCCAAATCTAGATCATGTATAAACAATATCTTAACTTAGTCAATTCTTTAGTTAAAGAAAAATTCAGAAAAGATACTTCCACAAATGTTATGGGACTTTCACGGCGATTTTTATCAATTAAATGTGCTACATTTAAAGAAGTAAAGAGACAGAGAGAATCGATGAATTGTTCTGTCCTCTGTCAATAGAGGAGCACATACATATATATCCTAGACAGTTTCCTAAAGAGACATATCTATACAATTAAGAGGAAATCAACTCTTTAATGTGATTGGTATCACATCCCTAACATCTCGGGAATGAACGTGATTGACAAGATAT